AAAATAAAACATATAGCATAAATATAAATATAATAGAACGAATATTTCTACAATGACAATGTTGATGGGAATGGCCCATCAATCATTATATGGAAACACATGTCATAATACTTAATCTTTATTAAGTACCTTATGCTTAGCTAAGTACCTGCATTGTGGGAACAGAATTTTAAATAGCTTCTTCCTTCGATTTGTTTACACAGTGACATTTCCAGACACCTTTCTCGTCAATATTAAATCAATATTGTTTGAAGTTTTACGGTTACTTATCCGAAAACAAACTAGCTATTTTGTCTATAATTTTTTCGATTTGGCACTCGTCAACGAACAGTTATTTTTACGTTGATTTTACATATGAAAATTTCGAAGAAAGTCCTATAGGTAATATTTACGGAGTAAATTTAAACGGCATATCAGTCAGTCCTGGTAACGAACTCGTGTATCTGAGTTCCAAATTGGTGAGCGCACTAGAAACAATACTTTGTAAAACGTCAATCAAGTTAATTTATGAATTGTTCACAGGATCAAGGACAGTGTTTTGAGCACAGTCAGTTGAAAGGAAAATTCAGAATTTTCTAGTAGAATTTGGGAGTATATATAGTCGCCGGGAGAAGAGAAGATTCACAACATATACTGAAAAACATTACGAAGGATTTAGAAAAGGTAAGGCATGACAACAAAAATGCATATTTCTAGCCAACAAAACGCGTTAAGTTGCTCTATATTGAGCGCTACGTTAACGCTCGAGCTTAAATGAAGCTAATGACTCGGTAAGATCTCAGTTATGACCGAAGCAACGAAAGGCTGGGTCCTAAATGTTTGAAAGAATGCTTCCCATGTTTAACTATTCTGCATATTTATACGGTTTTAAACGTCAACATAACGCTAGCTACATTTCAGGAAGCCATGCATGCATATGACATATTGTTTACAGTTTGAAAAATTCTGAACTCTAAATCTTTGGTTTAGAATCTTTACGCCTCATTGCTTTCAGCCTTTCACAAACAGCATTTGGATGCCTTAATTTTAGTCTCTATTTTAATTCAAGACAAAACTGATTTGTAACTTTCCTTCCACCTTATAACTTTTATCAGTCCACAGAGCTTTATATCTAGTGAAAATCCTTCATTAGAGGTTCAAGGTGTTTTTATATAAGGGGTTAAGCTCGGGGTTAAGAGCAAAGCATTGAAGAAAGCAATGTATTTATTGCGGTTTACTTCGTCGCAGGAATACAGGATTGCAACCAATATATACCCAGTAACCCTGTAGGTTATATTGTAAAGGATATTCAGTTGCATGCAGACTTACAGACCAGAATTTCTCGAAATAAATTTGGTTGCTAGAGAGATAAAATTATTTTCTCGAAACAAAGAAATAGCGAGAAGGTCAATAACCTTACGCGCTGACGAGGCCACGAAGGACGAAACGCCCCAACCGAGGATATCTGAATTACACACACATGAATATTTCCTTCTCTTCTTTACTATATTTCTACATGCTTCCACACAAGTTTTTTTATTTACTACAGCGTGGTCATTCCAGACGCAGGGCCTTCGCTCGAAAGGTCGAAATTCTCCTTAGATTTTTCAGGTAGTTGTATTCCTACCAAAGAAAGCTTGTTCATTCTCTAAAATGTCTTGACCACACGTTATGATATTTCAAAACACACACTTTCTACACATATCAAGATTTGAACTTTTACTTTCCATATACAAGAATTTTACTTATTTTTATCACACATGGCATAAATTTGGCAGATTGTGACCAAAAACACGAGGCAATTACAATGTCATATTTCACTCTACAGTTTCAGTTGCGTTTCCACAGCCAACTATTTACATATATACATTTATATTCAGTATATTATGATTCACGATTTTGATAGACCGCACCGTCCGCACGTTATGATTTTTTAAAACACACACTTTCTACACATATCAAGATTTAAACTTTTAGGTTCCATAGCCTACACCTTTTCACGCATTACTGGGTTCACACAACAATTTTACTTATTTTCATCACACATGGCATAAATTTGGCAAATTGTGACCAAAGCTCGAAAAGTCGAAGTTCTCCTTGTATTTTTCAGAGAGTCAGTGTATACCTATCAATCCGAAACCTTTTTAACAGACTGTTGAAGATTATACTACAGAATGGCTCTTAATATAAACTTAACTGTATGGGGGAAAGGCCCTCGTGGAGTCAAAGTGGTTTAATTAACAGTCTATGCGTGCATGAAGCAGATGTTTTGGACTGAAAAACATGTCAAAATATAAAGTACTTGTATATTGTGGGAGGAACATAATTTTAAATAGCTTCTTCCTCTTCGATTTGTTCACTCAGTAAGTTTTACAGACACCGGCTTTCTCGTCAATATTGTTTGAACTTTTAATTACTGTTACTTATCCGAAAACAAAGTAGCTATTTTGTCTATAATTTTTTCGATTTACCATTGTCAACGAACAGTTATTTTTACTTTGATTTTACATGTGAAAATTTTGAAGAAATGTGCTACGTAATATTTGCGGAGTAAACTTGCATGTTACGAACTCGCGTATCTGAGCTCCAAACAATAGCGCTAGAAACAATACTTAGTATTAAAAACGTCAATGAAGTTAATTTATGAATTGTTTACAGCATCAAGGACACTGTTTTGAGCACAGTCAGTTGGAACTTGGAAGTTGAAAAGAATAGTCGGAATTTTCGGCAGAATTTGGGAGTACATACTCGCCAGGAGAAGAGAAGACTCACAACATATACTGAAAGACATTACGAAGGATTTAGAAAAGGTAAGGCAAACACCAACTAATGCATATTTATATAGCTAACAAGACGCGTTATGTTGCTCTATTGAGCGCTAAGCCGGTTTTAAGCCTGTTTTCCACTAGCGAATTTGTTCGCGCGAATCTTTTGTATTATGAGCTCTCGGCTGAAACTAATTAGATTTTTAATCAATTCTTTTCAATTTAAACAATAGAAATTTCGCTTCGCGCGAAGAAATTCGCTAGTGGAAAACAGGCTTTACACTTGCCAATGTTTTCGCGCGAAGCGAATCTTTCTTTTGTCTTTATCCAATTAGTTCCATGCACATGGTTCCAGTTGAGAAACCAAAGACATAAAATGAAAAATTCGCTTCGGGCGAAAAAAAATTCGCAAGCGGCCTGATTCCACGACGGCGATACACAGTATATGTGCATCGTACATCACCAATAATGTTTGTTTTGGGACCAATTTTTGTCAATAACTCTGATAGCCGTTTACAATAACACAGATCTTGCAATTCTAGCGTTTATCGCAGAGACAAGGGCATACTGTGACAAGGGCGCACCCCCCATCATTTTGAGAAATGTCCAAAATGCCTATTATTGCTAAATACCACAAGTTTAGTAATTCTTTAATATATTTCAAAACTGATGTAAAAGCTGTTATAATAAAGTTGTAAAATCAAAAACTTCGTTAGTGGTTTGACGTTTGCCGTAAACGAAGAGAACTTTAGATTAGAGACCTTTAGATTGACGTTTACGGCAAACGTCAAACCGCTAGCGAGGTTTCTGATTTTACAACTCTATTATAATAGCTTTTACACCAGTTTTGAAATATGTTAAACTTATTAAACTTGTGCTCTTTAGCAATGATTTAAGAAAGCAAATTAACCACTAGTCATGCTATTCACCAAAGCAGTAAACTAAGATTTGGCGTTTGAAGTTGACTTTTGGCGTATAAATTTCATGCTTGAACTGCTACGAGGGCTTGTAGTCGTTAAAGCATGAAATTTATACGCCAAACGTCAACTTCAAACGCCAAATCTTACTGCTTTGATGAATAGCATGACTAGTGGTTAATTTGCTTTCTTAATTCATTGCTAAAGAGCACAAGTTTAATAAGTTTAACATATTTCAAAACTGATGTAAAAGCTATTATAATAGAGTTGTAAAATCAGAAACCTCGCTAGCGGTTTGACGTTTGCCGTAAACGTCAATCTAAAGGTCTCTATTGACGTTTATACAGCAAACGTCAAACCGCTAACGAAGTGTTTGATAATACAACTCTATTATAACATCTTTTACACCAGTTTTGAAATATATTAACAATTACCAAACTTGTGCTCTTTAGCAATACAGTTTAAGAAAGCAAATGAACCACTATAGTCACCTATTCAGCAACGCAGCAAAATAAAATTGGCGTTTAAAGTTGATGTTTGGCGTATACAATTTTATGCTTGAACTGCTGACGAGGGCTTGTACGAACGAGGGCTTGTAGTCGTTAAAGCATGAAATTTATACGCCAAACCGGTAAACTTCAAACGCCAGATCTTAATTTGCTGCTTTGCTTAACAACTTGACTATGGTGGTTCATTTGCTTTCTTAAATTATTGCTAAAGAGCACAAGTTTAATAATTGTTTATATATTTCAAAATTGGTGTAAAAGATGTTATAATAGAGTTGTAATATCAAACACTTCGTTGGCGGTTGGCCGTTTGCCGTATAAACGTCCATCTAAAGCAGTAAAGGTCTCTATCGCTCACGTGCATTCTACAGGTAAGTGATCGATTTACCTCAGCATTTTATTCAATTGTTATTACTAATTCATTGCACATATATGGCATGTATTAAGATAAATATACATTTTATCTTTGATTTGGATGGATTAAAGTTGTTTTTAACGGGAAATTGTTGATATTCTGAATGCTTTTAAATGAACCATATGCCATTCGATATATATATAAACAACATGGCGCCCATGCAATTTACACTCTAAGTCTAATTTACTTATATTAATTAAACAAACATGAAAATTTCGATTGTTTCAATATTTTGTGCCTGATTTTGGTATGAAAGGTTTCTTAAGTTGAAGTTTGTTTATTTTAAGTTATGTTTTTAATCATTTTAATAAACATTTACATTTGAACATTGACGATAAAGCAAGTTCAAAATCATAGATGCATCGACGAGAATAAGGAAATTATTTTGGTCGGTGATTTTAACTGCAATCTTTTAGCAGTAAATCGACGCTCAATATATCACAAACCGGCTTCTGGATATCGCTAATTTATTTCAACTTAAGCAGCTAATTACAGAGGCAACACGTATTACACGTGGTAATAGAGACCTTACGATTTTAGGATGGCAACGCGACGGCCAAAACAAACTCCTTCAAATAAATGGTAATAAAGATAGTTCGTCGTATATTATTAATCGTATGAATTCAATACAGTCTTAGAAGTTGAAGACATGGGTTTTATGGTTGGGAAGAGTTCTGCTAAACCCAGTTTGAAGCCTAGCTTGCACTTGTTGTGGCTTGGAATGCAGCCGTTGTATCAAGACGTGAAAATCTGTGATTTAGCGTTGTAAACAGAGCGAGGGCAAGTCTAAATTATTCATATATTGTAATTACTCAATTCTTTTCAATAATCTATTGCATTGGTAGCCCTTGCCGTCCTAAAATCGTAAGATCTCTATTACGGAAGAAACGCAAATATTGTTGGACTTGTTCTTTACTAATAAGCCAGAAAATATTATTAATTCTGGGGTGGTGTGCATTTGGGTGTCAATGACCATAGCCTCATTTATGGCTGCAGAAAGATATCATTTTGCAAAACGTTACCAAAAATTGTAGAATCAAGGAATTTTAAGCATTACAAAACATTAGAATTCAAAAGGGTTCTTTCTATCGCACTTTCGAATTGTGATTGGAGCACTGATGATCCAAATGCGCTTTGGAAACAATTTAAGGACAGGTTCATATGCACTTGTACTTCTCTTCTACTAATAGGAATTATTTATAGCCATATTCGTAAATATTAATGATTTTCTTTCAAAATTTAAGTAATATGAATACATTCAAGAGTTTTCTTTACTGCGAAAATTGTTTGCCCCCCTAGCGATTCCACAATGCATTGCAAAAACACGAAAAACCGCGCGGGGCCTAGCCTGTGCACATCCTGTATTACCCTGTACTACAGGTTAATACTGACAGGATGTGCACAGGCTACGCGGGGCCTGGCAACCGAAAACATACCCATTTCATATTTGCTTGTACGGCAAACGTGAAACCGCTATGACGGCAAACCGCGATTTGAGGTTGGGCGTAAATAAAATAAACGTCAATCTTAAGATCTCTTCCTCTGGGTCTCTTCGTTGGATCTACAGCTCGCAAGCCGGACTCTCTACTAATCTACTTCCGCTAAAGTACTTCGCCGTACTTCAGGGCATTTTCACCAGTAGGTCCTTTCGTTGTCCCAATAGTGAAGCAAGATTTTCAGATTAACTGGGCCCTATTATTATTAATACCAGGCCCAAACCCCTCGACACAGCTACACTGTTCCTGCTTTGAATTCTCATTCATGACATCCCGTTGAAGATAGGCAACGATGCTAATCGAAGTCTGTTATTTTGCGAGTTGCGAGCTGGCCGTCGGAAACCGTCGGAAAGCTTAGAAATAAATTTGACTGCGACACAAAAGATAATGCTACGATACGTTACGTTACGTTACGCGGTTACGATACGGTTGAAGTGGAAATCGGCGTTTACTTGCTTGTTTACTCTGTTAGATACATCGGCATGTTCAAGCCAATTTATAATAATTTTATTGAACATCAAACTGTAAGTTTATATTTGCCGTTTCTGTGTTTAAATCTAGTACTAGTAGTATAGTTTTCCAGGCCATTTTATGGCTTTCTATTCTTAAAATGATTATTTAATTTTACTAGTAAGAATGACCAGACACAGACTCAGTTTGTTTAGTATACTGTAGCTATTTTCGTTTGTAAAATTGAATATTCTGAACGCTCAGAGCCCTAAATTCAAGTCCTTTTCATCGATAGTACAACTGAAGTTAAAATAATTCATCTTAGCAATATAAATAAACCAAATTTTCTTTCATTTTCTTTTTCTTTGATCATCTGATTATCAATTTCCCGTTTGTAATGCAAAATGACTGAAAAACGGCAAACTTCGCAAGGCTATATTATCCGCATTTTACAACATTTCGCAACGAAACTTCGGAATATTACTAATTTTGTGATGCTCTTTCAAGCTGTGGTGAAATTTTTGTCCAGGCATATCTAGATCAAAATTTCACTCATAAGGGGAAAGGTCTATTCGCACTTTACTCTTTAGATAATCCTCATGCTAACAAGCCTGTTGCCAGACATTTTAATAGTGGCAATGAAAATTCGAGCTCTCTGCCCCATTTCTGGAAGCAAAGATAGCCCCCCCCCTTCATTTTCATGACTCCATGAGGTATACTTTAAATTCTCACCTTCTTCCACACTTATTTAATATATTATTTGTATGTGTTGTAGTTTTATATATATTTGTATTAATATATTCTGTAATGTGATTTACATTTTTTGTTTATACACTAAATCGCTATAGTAACCTCCCAACATGGGCTCCACCTTTGAAACAGTTACTATATGAGTAAATCAGTATGATACATTCGCGGCACATTTTGAATTTATCAATAGAGTTAATCATAAAACCACAAGCATTAGACAAGACGTCTTGTTATACATTTAATGGCACTAAAAGGGAGGCTGGTCGCTCAGGGGTGGGGACATTTTCAAAAAAAAAGTTTTTAAAAAAGTTTTTAAAACGTTTTAAAAAAAGTTTAAAAAGTTAGATTTTCAAAAAAGTTTAAAAAAAGTTAGGGGTTAGCGGTTAGGGGTTAGTGGTTGGGGTTGGGGTTAGTGTTGGGTGCCGCGAATTTATTATTATGATAAATTCAAAATATTCGGACGTGTTTAAGAATTTACTCGTATAGTAAATTCAAAGGTGGAGCTCATGCTGTAACCTCCCGACGAAGGGGCTTCGCTCGAAACGTCGAACTGTTCTCCTTGTATTTTTCAGGTAGTTGTATCCCTATCCGAATCCGAAGCTTTCTTAGCATATTATTGCCACTACCTACATTGGCACATGCTGTTGAAGATTATACTACAGAATGGCTCTTAATATACACTTAACTATATGGGGAAAAGGTCCTCATTAAGACTGCCCCCATGCTTAGTTGGAGCATAGTTAATGGTTGGAGTCAAAGTGGTTTAATTAACAGTCTCAATGCGTGCATGAAGCAGATGTTGTGGAAAGACATGTCAAAATAAGTACTTGTACTGTGGGAGGAATAGAATTTTAAATAGCGTCTTCCTCTTCGATTTGTTTACTCAGTAACTTTTACAGTTACAGACACACCTTTCTCGTCAATATTGTTTGAACTTAAGAAGGATTTAAAAAAAGGTAAGGCAAACACCAACTAATGCATATTTACGTAGGCGTTAAGCCTGTTTACTTGCCAATGTTTCGCGCGAAGGGAATTTTTCTTTTGTCTTTATCCAATTAGTTGCAGATGGTTCCAGTTGAGACCAAAGACAAATGAAAACCGGACACGATTTGGCAACGCGACGCGAATTTTCAATTTTCAATGACATTTAAATTCAGTATTTTTCTATGTTTTTCAAATATTCGTACCCACTTAAGCAATATGAATTTTAGCTATTTGCTCTTCATGCATATCTTGTAAAATTTTTATCCGACACTTTTATTTGTTTTTAAAAACTGAAAATTCGCGACGCGTTGTCGAATCGCGTTCAGTCTGTATGGGCCTTGATTCCACGACGGCGAAATTCTTCGTGCGAAATCGTGTCTGCGAAATATGGATGGCTGCACATGAGTGATTCTATTGAATTTGCGCACTTTTTTCGCTTTCGCAATGAGTAGAACTGATTTCTACTCGCGAAGCGAATTTTTTTCTCGCGAAGCCTAATTTATCTTTACTGCGTATATATGCACCTAAATCATTTCACGCAAAATTTTTCGCATTTCCCCGAAGCTACGTTTCGGGAAGCCATGCGGCATATGATATATCGTTTACAGTTTGAAAAATTCTGAACTCTAAACATTTGGTTTGGAATTTTACGCCTTATTTTGTTCACAAACGGCAGTTAGATCAATTTAGTTGAGATGTATTATTATACATATTATAAGCTGTATTTTTGTGGAAGGATGTCAAACGAGTTCATATTAATCAAATGGAGCCATGCAACAAAAATTAAGAGTATAATTTCTCGTTTGCCCCATGCATCTCCCCTATAGTTAAAGATCCTTGATTTGAATAAAGATAGCATCATTATTTTCAAGCTAATGAAGAGCTAGAGTATACTCTGCCCTCACAGTATGGACACATGATGAATTATACAGTATATGTTTGAGCGGGGGCACAATATAAGAAATGCAGGCTTTAAAATATCTTTTCCAGGGCCGTCTGACAAAATGTCCGATGACGTTGAGTTTGGGTCGGACATATGTCCGATGACCTTCAGTTCAGTTTTGACTTGGAAATAAGTCTGAATGACACAAATGACTAATATCCGCAGCACAATGTATTAATTCTGAACGGTAAGTGTTGTGAAGATATTAAATAATTTGTGTCATTCATACTTATTTCCAAGCCAAAATTAACTTGCTTGCAAGAACAGCAGTAAGAATTCGACAACGTTTTCCACTTTACCATATCGCATTTCCATTTCGGACAGAATGTCCGGTGGCTTCCTCTCTACGTCGGACAATGTCCGTGACCAACCGATATTTTAAAGCCTGGGAAATGAGTAAATTTTGATACACTGAATCTGGAAAGAAAGATGATATTTTAGCAAGTATATTGATTTGTCCTCGAATTTGTCTTCGGATTTGCCCTCGGTTTCGCCCTCGGTGTAATATTGTGTTTGTTTAGACACACGCCATGTTGAGTCTAGCTCCCTTTATCTAATTGTCACCTGCATATATATCTATGTCCATTACGTCATAACTACTTAATGTCAATCATCTACTTATAAATGTCACATCTCCCTTTTCCCAAAGGAGATTGTTTAACTAGTGTTTCTATTAATGTCTTTTTTTAAAATGTCAATCATAAACAGTTTTCTAATGTTCTTAGTGTGCTATATAATGTCAACTATTAGATTTATTCTCTAAAAAGTTTCAATGTTGCTATTTTAGTATTTTCCTATTTTCCATTTAATTGGCTTGAAATCTTTCTGGTTTACGACTAGCACGACCGCTTCGAGTTGTGTACAATTGTGGTGTTTGTGGTGATTGTCCAGGTTCTAACCCATTTTGCTGCCTACCCACGGCAATTGGTATTTGGTGTGGAGGTTGGTACTCGGTGATGTTATCATCATCTAGATCACAGTTCTCCAATCTGTTCATGCCAGTAGATTCATATAGATGTTTCCGGTTTCTTCGCAGTACGAAGCCATTAGATGTACGGATCATGTACGATCTGGGCTCTTTTCTCTTTTCAATCACTACTGCTGCTTTTAGTCCAGTGTTGGTCTCATACCGAACATTATCACCTGGTTGAAGGACTGAAAGCTCTTTAGTGTGATGGTCAAAGTACTGTTTTTGTTTTTCTTTGTTCTTATGGAGGGTTTCTTTGACTATTTTGGGTTCAATTATCTTTGGTTCTAATAGTGTGGTCGAAGTGGGTAAGGTGGTTTTTGTTCTTCTACCAAATAATCTCTGGGTTGGGGATCCCAATTTTTCATTAACTGGGGTGTTGCGATATGCTAACAGGGCAAGATAGGGGTCAGTGCCTGCTTGCTTTGCTTTCTTTAAGAGGTTCTTGGCTGTTTGTACATATCTTTCGGCTAACCCATTGGATTGTGGAAAATGGGGACTTGATGTAGTATGTTGAAATCCATACTCTTGTGCAAATGTGGCGAATTCATGGCTGGCAAACTGTGGGCCGTTATCTGATATTAATGTATCCGGTATACCATGACGGGCAAATTGGGACTTGCAATGGGTTATCACAGAGGAACTTTTAGTTCCAGTCAGTTGAGCAATTTCAAAAAACCCAGAATAGGAATCAACAAGAATCAGATATGAAGATCCATCCAGCTCAAATAGATCTGTTGCAACTATTTCCCAAGGTCTTGAAGGACTGTCTAGGGGATGAAGGGGTTCTCTCATGTTTCTTACCTGGTGGTCTTGGCAAACTTGGCATTTCTTGACAAGGTCTTCTATCTCTGCATTCATACCAGGCCAAAATAATATGTCCCGCGCTCTCCGTTTGCATTTTTCAATGCCAAGATGAGCATTGTGTATTTTCTTGAGCATTTCTGACCGTAGCACACGTGGAACAATGACTTTATTTCCTTTGAACAATAGTCCTGCTTGTTCGATTATTTGGTCTCGATAGTTCCAGTATGGTTTTGCACCTTCTGGGACTTTGGATTTGTCTGTTGGCCAGCCTTCTTTGATACAGCTATTCAGTTCTTTCAAATCTTGATCAACCTCCGTTGCTGACTGAAGTTGTTGAACTTTCTCTTTTGACATTGGTAGCAAGTCTATAACATTCACTTCGAAATCCCTTGTCAGCTCATTAATGCTGCTGTTGCTTTGCTGGCAGGCCCTAGATAGGGTGTCTGCAATGAGCAGCTCTTTCCCTGGTTTATACTGGACATTTATGGAATATTTTTGTGTTCTCAAAATCATTCTTTGGAGCCTTAGTGGCGCATGATAAAGGGGCTTCTTAAAAATAAACTCTAAAGGTTTATGGTCTGTGTGTACCGTAACTGATTTCTTTCCAAAAATATAGTCATGAAATCGTTCGCAACCGAATGTGATAGCTAACATCTCTTTTTCTATCTGCGCATAGTTTCGTTGTGTTTGTGTTAATGACCGTGATGCATATGCGACTGGGCGCTCGTCCTGTAAAAGGACAGCTCCTAACCCATCAGGGCTAGCATCAACTTGAATAGTTACATGTTTGTTTACATCATAATATTTCAAAACAGGTGCATTTGTTATTGTTTGCTTTAATCTTTCGAAACTGTTTTGTTGCTGCACATCCCAGTGCCATAACGTGTTCTTTTCAAGTAGCATTCGCAGGGGAGCAGCTAATTGTGAGAAATTTGGGATAAATTTAGCAAGGTACGTTGCCATCCCAAGAAATCTCTGGACTGCTGCCTTATCTGTCGGTGTATCCATTGTTTTGATAGCTTCAACTTTGTTCACATCCGGTTTTAATCCATTTGAACTCAACGTATGTCCAATATAAGTTACTTGTTGTAGTCCAATTTCACATTTATCCTTGTTAAGTTTCACTCCAGCTTCGCGAGCTCTTTCTAATGCTTGTTTCAAACGTTCATCGTGTTGTTCTCGAGTTTCACCCCAGATTAATAAATCATCGACAATAACTTCGATTCCTTCATTGCCATCAAAAATTTGAGACATAATACGCTGAAACACTTCCGGTGCAGACGAAATTCCGAATGGCAGGCGATGAAAACGGTATCGACCAAACGGTGTATTAAATGTACATTTCGTTGCACTTTCGTCATCAAGTTGTACTTGCCAGTAGCCTTGGGTAGCATCAAGCTTCGAGAAGAATTTGGCATTCGGCATTCGCGAGATAACTTCTTCTATAGTTTTCATAGGATACTGTTCACGTTTAATTGCGCGATTTAAGTCTTTCGGGTCAATACACAATCGTATTTTTCCATTGGGTTTTACGACAGTTACTAAACTATTTACCCATTCCGTTGGCTGTTGAACTCGCTCTATTACTCCGAGACTTTCCATACGATCCAGTTCGTCCTTAACTTTTTGTCGCAAGGGTGCTGAAACTCGACGCGGTGGGTGAATTACCGGTTTTACAGTAGGGTCAGTTTCAATGTGGTGTACTACGCCTTTAACACAACCTAACCCAGTAAACACATCACTGTACTGTTCGAAAATATCCTCAGGTGCGGTGGACGTCGACTCGACGCATTCTTTTTTGTCGATAGTTAGCACTCGTTTTACAAGATTTAACTGAAGGCAAGTTGTAAGTCCAAGTATATTTGGAACTTCATGATTTACGACTTGAAACTCAATTGGCCAATATTTGTCACGATATGTACATAACGTTGTAAATTTTCCAATTGTTTTTAACTTTTGCCCTCCAAACGCTCCGAGCTTTGTTCGCGATTTTTCTAAGGGGGTTTTACTAAGTTCCTCATACGTCTTTTTTGAAATCACATTGCATTCGGCTCCAGTATCGATTTTGAACATAACATTTGTATTGTTTACTTTTAGGGATGTCGTCCATTCTTTGTTTTCGTCTTGGGCGTGTATGGCGCCAATGAAAAAACTATCATTGCTTTCGCTGTCGCTATTTCGTGTGCTCGCTTCGGCTTCGTGACTATGAACGTTCTTTTCATTTGTTCTAGTCCTGCACATTCTTGAGTAGTGGTTAGGTTTTTTGCACTTATGACAAGTAGCTCCTATAGCTGGACATTTCTGTTGTTCATCGTGTTTACCGCCACACCTTGTACATGTTGTCGCTGACGTTTTAGATGTACGGTTGAACGGACTTCGCCTTCGATCTTGAGATCTCCTGTTACTGTTCATATCGCGTTCACTTTGGTGATCTTTCTTTAGGGCATTTACTTCTGTTGTCAAGCCATCCGTCGCGTTTGTAAGAGATTTGGCTTGTTCTAAACTGATTTCGTTGGCGCGGCAAATGTCAATGGCTTTTTGAAGCGTTAAATCGCTTTCCCGCAATAGTCTTGCACGTAATTTATCGTCAATTATTCCACAGACTATTCGATCCCGAATTAACCCGTCGCAAAGGGTACCAAATTCACAAGACTTAGCTTTCGTGCGCAAATCTGTCACGTATTGATCAATTGTCTCACCTGCTCTCTGATTTCGCGTGTTAAAAACGTGCCGTTCGTAAGTTATATTCTTTCTTGGATTACAATACGCGGCAAACTTTTCCATTATTTTATCTACTTTCATGGCATCGCCTTCGCTCGCCCATGTGAAAGTGTTATAGACTTCCAACGCATTTTCTCCTATCACATGCAGCAATGTAGACGCTTGAACTTTTGCAGATTTTTCGCCGATTCCACTCGCTACTAAAAACAAATTGAATTGTTGTTCCCATTTTCGCCAGTTTTCAGCTAAGTTGCCTTCTAAATGTAAGATATTTGGGGGTTTCATGTATTCCATCCTGACACCATGTAATATTGTGTTTGTTTAGACACACGCCATGTTGAGTCTAGCTCCCTTTATCTAATTGTCACCTGCATATATATCTATGTCCATTACGTCATAACTACTTAATGTCAATCATCTACTTATAAATGTCACACTCGGTTTTGCCCTTTTCTTTGCCGTCATGTTCTAGTGCAAGTGCAGCGTCAAGTACAAGTAATTGTGTTGAAAATGTTGCAACTATACTGCAACGTTTCATAACTGTAAAATTAACTTTATTATGAACTCAAGAAATTAGTTTGAAATTAACTAATTAAGGTTTTATACGTTGAGTTGCCAATACGACTGTATATAACAGATTGTAGGCTATATGCGTGTGCATGGCATGCGTATGTTAGAAATGGTAAAAACGTGTTCAAGATGAAATGTGTATTTTTATCGTTGTCAAGCTAGTAAAGTCTCCTAATCTGTACCATTTGATACAGAATATTATTAGTATTCTGTATCGTTTCATACAGATTTGTATCATTTGATACAGAATACTAATAGCTCTATAAGTATTCTGTATCAAATGATACAGAATATTGATTATAGCGGGATTAAGCGTTTCCAGTTAATTACTTTACCCCACAATTTCCCAGCTGAGAAATCAAAGCCCCCAGCTTTCAAACAGTGGAACTAGTATCGGATATACAAAGGTAATCACGTGTCATAAACCACGAATTTTGAATGGCCTTTTTGCTTATGAATGTTTAATGAATTTCGCAAATATATATATATATATATATATATATATATATATACCGAGTGTATACCAAACCGGGCAAGCAGAAATTTCTACTTGACCGCGGCTGGGATTCGAACCCGCGACCTTCGTATTTCTACAACGATGCTCTACCGTCTGAGCAACAAGGTCAAGCTGAGAACGACTTGTTAATAAACACACATATATATATATATATATATATATATATATATATATATATATATATATATATATATATATATATATATATATATATATATATATATTAAGATGAAAATATTAAGATGAAAATGTTCTAGAGTGTGTATTATATAATTTCCATACCTTTACCTGTGCCTGTGGTTGAAAATGTCCAGAAATATGGTATATCTTAGAAAACATAGACGGGGGGGGGGTCTTCAGAGATTTCAGCTGATTCGTGCCAAACTTCGCTACACATAAATAATATCGATTGAGAAGTCTTTTGGCTGTTTATTGGTTTAATATCTCGCCACTCCTTGACGAGCTGTCAAATACTCTCATTTTTTGGGTAGTCACGTGACCAGCCCAGACCAGGGCTTTCTCGTCTCTCCCTTCGTCCTCATACAAAAGCCCTGGGAACGAGGTTGCAAATTACCAAGACACGAAATTAACGAATGTTGAGCTTAGATAAACAATTTTTAGATAGACTCCCTAGTCCGTCTGTTCCTCCAAGCCATACAATATACATTGATCCTTTCAAATTATCGTCAAACTTGTAATGTTTACTGTTATATACTTCAGAAATGAAGTATGCCGGAGTATGACCTTCTATTACAGGGAAAATACAAAAAGTGTCCCACTTCCGCTTCTGTAGTTTGTTGTGATTTACTGTAATTTGTTCTGTTTTTCTGTAGCGATTACCGATTTATCAGCAAATACCGCGATAAAACTTTGTTTTTTTTTATTTTTAAATATGATAATGTGTAGGTAGCAAAGGGAAATAATACATTTTTCGTTAGATTCATTGCATAAAACTTACGAAATTTAAATTTTATCGCAGTATTTGCCGATAAATCGGTAATCGCTACAGAAAAACAGAACAAATTACAGTAAATCACAACAAACTAGTGGGAAGTGGGACACTTTTTGTATTTTCACTGTAACTGTGGTATGACTATACCATGATTCCAATGTTTTATAGTTGTTCAACTTGTTCTATATTAGCCTGCGTGCAGGCCCAAGGGAACTGATAGTGGGCCTGCAACCATCACCCCATGTTTTCGATTTTCGCCGGCCGAACCGCCTGCTAAATTCCCATTGGCTAGCTGAGGCGATCGGTAATTAATTAACCTAGCGTGCAGGCCCAAGGGAACAGTGATTCATCACAAAGGCATAGACAAAGGCTCTCGATAAGCTTAAAATTTGAAACTTGATCACTTTTTTCGATTACAAATGGAACAAGAACAGACTGTTTATTGTTTACTTGAAGGAAGACATGTTTTTGCCGTTATGCCAATGGGGATTGCCTGTCGTGAGGTGTTGGAATAGCAAATTACGACTGGGGTAAACTATAGTAACCTTTACTTGAGTTTCATTAATTTCAAACAGACTTCAGTTGATACGTTATGTGTTCTCACTTCCTCAAGAAAATTATTTTTCGGTTGATGTTGAGATGCAGTTGCATGTAAGGACTGTAAGCCTATTCGAAACACTTTGCGATTTACAAGGCTTCGCTGAGAGAGCGAAACAGAAGACGGTATTAAATTGCCGTTTGAAACGAAACGATCTGGACTCGGAACGCTCTCTTCTTTTGTAGAGTTCTTTACCAAATGAAATAAATTTCGTACTTTCCGCCGCCAACAAGAATTGCACACACGATCTGATAAGTGAGACAATTTATTTATAACAATGCCAATGGCGACAGCGAAGCACACATAATATAAATCCTAATGTGGTCGCAGGACTTCCCTCATGATTTGAAGTTTGAGACTGGTTTTCTGTTGAAATTCGTCCTAATTTGCCTGTTCCGATTTTAGTTGAAAATGAGCACTTGCAAATTTGGCTTTTTTGGAGTTAAAACGCAGCCATTTACACATTGTTTATTAGTGTTCTGAATAAGCAGAGAAAACCCCGCAAATTTTAATGCGAGTTTGTTAGTTAATATTTGGGTGCTGTCATTGGTTCTTTTTTGACAATTGACGCGCGAATCATCCTCGGTCCCAGGGCCTCACGGCTGACACTGCGTTGACACGGCTGACACTGCGTTGCGCCTCCGGCAACGCAGTGTCAGCCGTGAGGCCCTGGGACCGAGGATGCGCGCGAATGGGGCGTGTTATGAAAAGGGGCGTTTTACAAAATACCGGGTATATATGGTTGCAGGCCCACTATCAGTTCCCTTGGGCCTGCACGCAGGCTAGTTCTATATTGTTCTCTTGGTCAAGCACCGATGGTATTAATTAAAATGTAATGAGTCAACCTATCCTTCTAGTATCTGCGATAGAACAGCAAAGCCAGTTTAGTTAGAATAAAATAGTAGTAAGCCCAAAATGTTGGAAAGAATTTGAAGTCGCGAATATTAGAATTCAAATACTGTTCATACTGGAAAAACATTTGCCTCAGCTGCATGTCAAGTGCCTGACTGACATTTTGACATACAATACCATTGAAACGGAAATACCAAAAATATTTTTATTAATTTAAAACAGCATATCATATTTTATTTAGTTCTGAACACCTAAACACTCTCAACAAGCTACTTGGCCACGATTCTTTGGCAATATTCACAATATCAAAGAAGTAAATCAGTTGGTTGAAATTCTACTTTAGCCCGTGAACTTGTTGGTAAGTGTTGTTTATATTTTAACCCAGTCTACGTATGTTAACATAGGATATATGAAATTATATAAAGAAATATTTCGTTAAAAATTTGCTAACATGCATTGACAACATTTCCATGCCCGAATACCTGCACAGCATGCAGAATATGTTAACCTATGGCTATATGGGCAATATATCCCTGTTCCTTTTAGTCCGCGTGTCGTTCTATTTCCTCCGCATAAATGAGTTAGTTTCACAGTTTGATATTTAAGTTACCCGTAATAACCAAAAGCGTCAGCTACCAGAATTAGGCCAATGAAAATTGAAATCATGTTTCTCGTCCACAATTTTCAAAAATTTGGAGCGGGATATTTTCATTATTCATTTTTCATTATTTTTTTGTGTTTGAATTCTGCTTGTCAATAATTTCCTTGACCCATAAAAATCTGAAGTAAATCGGTGTATAATTCATTTTAATTTAATACGTCCTACTCTACAGTATATTTCTACGCATACCAGGGCTGACATGAAAAATAGAGGCATTCTGGCGAGTAATGTCTTTAGAAAGATACAATTTGAGTTGCGCTTGCGGAATGCAGCAATAAGACTTTGATCTGGAGATCAATTTGGTGTTTTGTTAAGCCTATTTTTCAAAAATAATGAATAATGGAAAATTTTCGTGCGGCAGATAAAACCCATGCGGGCGGGGACGAGAAACATGATATCAATTTTCATTGGCCTTATAGAGACTTGGATGTATAAACTATATCCATAGTTAAACTATATCCTACTTTTTAAATATTTATCTATGTTTGTTATTTTAATACCAAGTATAATCCATTTAGGTACATTTAAATATTGCGAAATATTGCAATGACAAACATTTGAGATTATACACACGCTAATTAATATATACATGTGCATATTAAATATACACAAAAACTCTATGGCTTATTGGACGTCTGTATTAAGAAAAATCAACAGAGTTAGTTGATTGCATTAAATTAGTTTCTTTCCTTTAGTGCATACATTATATGACGGCATCAATTTATTATTAACTAATTTCACAGCTGTAATTTCAGTTTAAGCTTCATTATCTATTGTTTGAATTGCATTCGACGCGACCGAAATTCGACGTATAAAACAGGCCTAAGATACATAAGCTTAGACATATTTGGTTAAGTTTGTTTAAATCAACAGCACTAGAACTATCGTTTTGTTAAACCCTTCATATACCATCTTCTTTTGTTTTCCTTCGCTTTTCAATTTCAGCATTAATTGACCTCAATAATTGACCTCATATGATTCGCAAAGTGAAAACTCTGTACCGACTATTAGTATTATTCGCAAGTAATTGTTGGGTAAGATGCCTTTGAATGAAACTCCCATGCACAGCCTTTAACCAATATAAATTGTAGATAATTTTACGTTGCATTGCAATTTTGTATGTACAATGTTCTGGTATGATGAGTATTCTTAAAATCGCTTTGAGACACTGTATTAAATTTCTGTAATGAGAACCTTGTCATACAATTGCTTTTGCAAGTATATGTATATGTAGAACATAATTATGTTGCCTTGTGCCTGGTCAACGGTGTGAATCCAAATGATGCCACAATTTAAGGAAGTAAAAAAAAACTTACTAGATATTTTCATTTTACAATGCCAATGGCGTATGTTTAAATATTTCAGAGTACAAAATAGCTGGTCATTGAAATTTATATTTGCATGTGAGCTTGCGTAAAATTAAATCATTAGATTTTATTAAAACTACTTGTACATGTGCATTTTAAAAAGCTGACTTCACAGCAGTACTTTTCATTGTATGAAGAATTAGGTTCACATACCTTACTTGTATTAAAATTCGCGTCGTACTCATTTTCGTTCAGCTTTAGGCCTAAATTCGCGCGATTTAATTTCGCGCACCTTGTTTTGATTTATTCGCGCAGCTTTAAATTCGCGCAAGTAATTTTCCGTGTTCGTTCTTTTTGGTTTGTTTAATAGAACTATCAACAATTAATTAATTAACGCATTTATAATGAGTATTTTTTATCAACAAGTACTTAAAGGTATTTGTTAAAAAGTAATCAAAAAGCGATTAGGTGACCTAAAAAATGGCTTCAAAATTATGTAATGTAAGCAAAATTCATGATAACAATTAATAAAGCGTGAGTTAAAAATACCAACAAGAACTGAAAAATTTATTGTATGGTTCTCATTTGCCCAATACAGTAACATAATGCAAATCAGTTAATAACTCAACTGATTTGCTTTACTAACAATGAGTGTCTCATATTACACCACAAAGCTTTTCGCGCGGATTATATTTCGCGCAGTACTAAAATTCGCGCACCCAGCGCTGCGCGAATTCTAGTACTGCGCGAATTTTAATACAAGTAAGGTATTGGGAAGGATCATATATATACTATGATCATATGAATTTACAGAAATATAATTTGCGCATAACCCCATGGGGATGAGCGCAATGTGAACGTGCTTGTCAACTAAACACTTCCGGCATCTTAGCCAATCAGAAGTTGCTCAGATGATGTGACAAGGCGGGAGTAAATGTGGAATTTAATACGCGATGCACCTCGATCAACGAATTAAGGATTGTTTCAGACTGTATTCAAGTTGAAGTTTATATATTTTCCTAAACAAGAAAGGTAGGAATATTGCCTATTCGACTATTATAAATGTTGTATGCTTGTGATGTTACTCTGAGTGTATATCCACACCGGGCAGGCCTGAAAATATGCCTGGCCACGGTGGGAATCGAACCTATGTACTTTGGATACTAGCGTAACATCACAAATATTTGGAATAATAGAGTAACATCACAGGCATCTTATTCACCTGAGTACACTACACCAACACAGCAAATATTATTATAAATGTGTCATGCAACTTATAGTCACATATAAACAGTGGCGTAGCCAAGGGGGGGGGGGCGACCGCACCCCCCCAATCGAAAAAAAAACATTCTCTGAAAAAGGCTAAATCCGTAGAGAAATTGGGGGGGGGGGGGTACACGTTACATCCTCGAAGCTGAAACTGATTAAGTACATCTCGACTGAGGAAAACGACGATATACTGGAGGAACTTGATTTGTAAAATCTCGTCAAAGCAGTTGTAGATATGGTTCCAAGAAGAATAGATTTAGTTTAGATTTACATGTATGCATTATCATAGCATGAATATTCTTCTCAGACTTATTCTGTATCGTATAAAAAAGCAACGCAATTTTGAGAATGCGGAAATGCTGCTGATAGAACCTACAATGATTTAAATGCAACATCAAAATCACATTGGGAATTCATTTCATCAAAATCACATTGGGATTTTCTTCCCCCAGCATAACAGAGGGGAAATAAGGTGACGTTGACCGGCTCCTTCTGTTTTTGATGGTGTCTTTTCCAATTTATTTAATTCCGAGTAGATAATTAGAAATGTCTGGGAAAATTTATGTTTTCGATCTACTTTATAATCTTCGGAATTCTGCAAGATTTCACCCCCAAAATGCTTGAAATCGCATTTCAGGGACTCTAGATTTCAAAATTGTCCAGGGGGTGCATGCCCCCGGAGCCCCCTAGATGGTCTCGCGCCTTCGGCGTTCGCTTCGCACCCCCAAAGATGAAGGTCTGGCTACGCCACTGCATATAAAGGATCACAAGGAACCTACCAAGAGCATCAGCTATCAGAATAGTCCTAATTATTAATAGTCTTAGGGACTGTGTTCATAGGAACTAGGGTGTAAACTACTACTATTTAACTGTATTTGTTACATGTAAAATATTGCAACAATTGAGATTATAGCTACACACTGCTTATATAGCTGCATGTGCATATCAAACATACACAAAAACTATACTGCAAACTCAAAACATTTGCCAGAGCAATATCCGCTTTTTGCTCAAAAAACTTTAAATTCTGCACAATATATAATTAGTCACCAATCTTTTACGTAGGCGGAACTATCAGTAATTGTCTTTTGTGTCAGTAAATGTAATTGTAAACCGCTATTGTATAGCACTATTCACTTTGTATCGTATCATATATCACTAGCACATTATTAATCTACCCGTCGAAGACTGCAGAACTGGCAGTCGAAAGCTTGTAATAAATAAATCTTTTTAACCAGAGAACGTTTACACAATTAATTATGAATCTTGGTTTCGCTTCCAACATTTTTAAAAAACTATATGGTTTATTGGACGTCTGTATTAAGAAAAATCAACCGAGTTATTTGATTGCATCAAATTAGTTTCTTTCTTTAGTGCACGCATTATGACGGCATAACTTAGAACTAATTTCACAAGCTGTGATTTCAGTTTAAGATACATAAGTTTAGGCATGCTGGGCTAAGTTTGATTTTGATTTTGAAGGCGGAAAGTTTTTACACTGTTTAGTGCGGGAGGAGGCGCTCGTTAGAGGTCTTTGATAAACTCACTCGTGCATGTTATATCCAAATTGCACTCGGAACAATGCTATTACCTATACTAATAAAGGATTGAACAGCACTGTATAGTTTTCATTAGTTGCGATTTCTATTCGACGAAATCAAAAATTTGTGTACGGATTCTATCACATGCCAAAAATAATCTGTTACTTAATGAAACTTGACTGTTTATACGAGTTGTTCCGTGACTCATTTAGGCCGCAGCTTGTTTGAGCTAGATAGAAGATTAGAAGTATTTCAGATCTACAACTAAACGTTAAAATTGAAAACGAATCAGTTAAGCAAGTTCATGAATCCATAACCCTTGGGGTGACAATTGACCAGCATTTATCTTGGAAAAGTAACACTGAGAATATTTGCAAGAAAATAACATCCGGTATATCTGCTCTTAGACGACTGAAAGAATTTGCTGATAAGCAAGCCCTTCTTTCTGTGTATAATGCTATTGTACGCCCATACTTCGATTACTGCTGTGAAGTATGGGATGTGTTTGGTGAGACACAATCAAAAAGACTCCAAAAACTCCAAAATAGAGCTGCTCGAATCATGAATATGAGCAATGACACAGATCATTCTGTTGCTCTGCATGCATTGGGTTGGAAGACACTTAAAACAGAAAGAAAGAAAGGGAAAGCAAAAATAATGTACAAATTATTAAATAAAATGGGTCCCAAGTCACTCTCTAATCTTTTCACATATAAAGGTGAGAAAACAAAGTATCACCTCCGAGATATTTCAAGTGGTCTTTGTCTACCACAACCGCGTACTAATAATATGAAAAAAAGTTTCATGTATGACGGAGCACACCTATGGAATTCAATTCCAAAAGGAATTAGAGAGAGCAAATCCCTTTCTGCCTTTCGGAAAAAAATCGTTACTCACATTGACTGATTGATTAATGGTTTGTAAATATATCTAAATTACTTTAACTTATTTAATACTATATATCTTATATAATTTTGTAAATAGCTTTTTAGTGTATCTGTATAGTTTGCACACGCCCCCCGTGGAAATCAGCTTCGGTTGACGGGGTCAGCGTGTTTAAATAAAGTTTTTCTATCTTCTATCTATCTATAGCCTAGATTGTGGACGACTCAAATCATTGCTCTTTTACATGCCTGAAATGTCGGGGCTTGACTCGAGCGTCGAATATTTTCAATGACTTCGAGTTAAGCCTCTCTTTTTTCACGGGGCTTAACTTGAACTTTCCAAGTTGTGTTTCTTTCTTCGAGTTAAGGCCTTGACGAAAATGGGTGTGGCTTGGGCGTGGTCGGGGCAAATGTTGGGACTTAACTTATGCTTAAGCCCCGGGGCTTAACTTGAAGTACTAAAACAACCTATGTTCATTGAGAAAAAGCCCTGGGGATTGATTATACCAATAAACTTCATTTATTTAAATTGCCTTATACACACTGTATGAACGAATTTATTTTGTTCAAAAAGTGTACTTCGGAATTTTATATTTATACAATGTCATGTTATTTTTGGTACCAATATTTTGAACTGACATTAAATCAAATATCAATAAAAATCATTACTTATAGTCTTCACTTGTGAAAATGTATTTTAACGTGGTACTATTAAGTTTGTTGCAAGTAATGATGGTTTTTTGTTCGTTTTCATTTGTTTATTTGGTTATAAGTCTTACCATTGTTTTTTGTCCAATGGATTATCGTATTCATTTAGCATATAGTGTCTATTGTTAGCCATCATTGTCCAATAACTTGTTAGGTTGCTGTACATATACAGGTTTGCAATATCATGACATACAATGTTCCTCACATCCATATGGTAGATTGGAAACCAGGCGTTTGATCCCCCATTGAAAAGGTTATTTTGTGAGGATTTCAATGGTGTTTTTCTTTCCGGTGGTGGGGGTAATTACTCACTGAGATATTTTTTATATCCGGAATCAAGTTGTACACCTCTCTACTTAAAGGCAATATATTTTTTTATTATTTAATTTTAAAGAACTTTTAAAATTATATGTTAATCTCCTTTACCGATTTTGTGTAACATTATTTCTTGAAATATTTTGACTTAAAATAATTTGCTGTCCGCCATCTTGGATTAATTTTTATCTCATCGTGATTTTAGTGACGTCAAAAGCAGGGTTAGCCATATAAAACTACATCTAAATGACCAAATAACATTAAGTCTTGTTTGAAAAGTCGTCAGACAGTTTTTTATTTCAAATAGTTACTGAAGTATATGATTTTGGGCTCATAATAACCAATTGCTCTATGGATAAAATTCTTGCGTGACCCTGCTTATGATGTCACATGCATATCCGCCAAAATCCAAGATGGCGGAGAGCTCGCTGATTTGTGATTTTTTCTGTTCAAATATCTCAAGAAATAATAAAGTTGCGCAAAATCGGTAAAAGAGATTAACATATAATTTTAAAAGTTCTTCCAAATGAAATAATAAGAAAATATATTGCCGTATCCCTTTAAACAGCTGTTTTCTTGTTTTCTTCTTAGGTATCGAGTTAAGCAGTCATGGCGATGGATCATTGTGAAATATATGATTTTCATGAAATAATTGATCATCTGTCAGTCAAAGTGAGAGTGATATTAATATTAATCATTATCTTTGCAATTCTGGGCAATACTTTGGTTTTGATTGCGACCTGGAAGGAAAAAAATCTTCATGAACCAAATAAATATTTTGTTGCTTGTCTGGCTGTCGCTGATCTTTTGGTTGGAATGATTTTGGTTCCGCTTCGGTTGTATCAACTTGTGAACAAAGAAAATGGAGGAATTACGTCTATTCATCTTTGCCGTTTTTACATTTGGTTAGACGTATTTTTAGGAACATCATCTATTTATGCACTGACGTTCGTCAGTTTTGATCGATACCTGAAAATTAGCAAGCCGCTTCAGTATAAATCACGAATGACAATTTCCACATCACTGAAAATAGTTTTCATCATTTGGCTAATCGCAGCTACCTATGCGACTTTGGCCATGTTTCCCTATGCAGATAGTCCTGGTATCGTTATTTCCACTGGAGGATGCTTTAGTATAAATAAAATCTTTTATACTTTTGCCGCCGTTAGCGCGTTTTTTCTACCCACGACAATCATGCTGGTTATGTACACTCTTATTTCTCTTGTCGCTCGTAAACAACAAAAAATACTGCGAAATGGTGAACTGAGCCAAACTTATGACAAACCGAATCAGCGAAGTGCCTTGCTTCAAGATCTAAAAGTGATCCACATGTTGTTCGTTGTCGTGGGAGTGTTTCTATTTTGCTGGGTGACAAACTACTATAATCCAAGTTTATTGTTTTTTACTTCATGGACTTTAAGTGATCTATATTTAATAACGATTCTTCATCGGCTAGTAGACACTTCCCCGTTTGCCTGTCTTCACCAAAAGTACAAGGAAGCTTTCAAACATCTGTTTCAGCGAATGATGTGTCGGCCAAGCTCAAGAAGGAGAGAGCCACCACAGTAAAGTTACGATTGCGGCACAAATTATAAAACCTATGATTGAGCATTACTCCCAGGGACGCCGGAACTGAGGGCAAGGGGGGGGGGGGCAGCTTCCCCTCTTGCCTTTTGCTAGGGGGGGAGGGCAGAAGTGCCCTTTTAGTTGTAAAATACTACCTGATAAATCACATTTCCAGTGATGCTTTTTCGGGCAAAATCATGAGATTCAGGTAATTTATAGGCGCAGAGAAAGTTAATTTACAAAAATAAGTGTGAATTTGGAAAAGAATGAGGTTAATTTACAACAATTTTAGAAAATTTTTGGATTTTGGAAAAAAATTTTGGATAAATGGAGAAAATTGCTGATGTCCGGAAAAATTTTTTTACGTCGCGGAAAATTTTTGTATGTCCGGAAAATTTTTTTGACCCCTAAAATGGTACACTGACCGAAATTTTTTTGGCGATGGGGGTGGGGGACGTCGCCAAAAAAAATTAAATGTAAAAAAAAATTCAGGTAAATTTCGAACTTTTGATCTATAGAGGTGCCCTTTGGTGTGCGTCTGCCCCCGTTTGCCCTTTTATCGTTCCGGCGTCCCTGGTTACTCCGCTTTGAAAATCACGTAGGCACGCTTAAAACTGCGACACTGTGGAAGTCTAAAACACTTTTAAAACTACTATGGCTCACCTTTCGAAACTGATAATTTTAGTTAAGCCAATGGTAGTGCCATGCACGTATTTTAGGTTGACTCGCCCTTAATACTCTTAAAAACAACGAATTATTTGGCATATAATTGTAGTGCATACAAGTCGTAATAGCGCTAGTATAGGGAATCTGAGAATGCAACATGAGCTCCACCTTTGAATTTACTATATGAGTAAATTCTTAAACACGTCCGAATTTATCATTATGATAAATTCGCGGCACATTTTGAATTTATCAATAGAGTTAATCATAAAACCACAAGCATTAGACAAGACTTCTTGTTATAAATGTGATGGCACTAAAAGGGAGGCTGGTCGCGCGGGGTAGGGTAGATTTTCGAGATTTTCAAAAAGTTTTAAAAAAGTTTTTTAAAAAAAATTTAAAAGAGTTTTAAAAAGCAAAAAAAAGTTTAACAAGTTAGATTTTTAAAAAATTTAAAAAAATTAAAGAGTTTAAATAGTTAGGGGTTGGGGTTAGTGTTAGTGTTAGGTGCCACGAATTTATTATTATGATAAATTCAAAATGTGCCGCGAATTTATCATAATGATAAATTCGGACGTGTTTAAGAATTTACTCGTATAGTAAATTCAAAGGTGGAGCTCATGCTGGACAATGAGGCAATTCATTGACCTCCTAGTTTAGTGTGTTCAGAATTTTTGGTTATCGTTCCATGTTTCGCGCACCAGTATAGGTTAGAGTTAGGGGTTAGGGTGTGTATATGGAGTTATCCAGGGGTTATAATATAAGTTAGATTATGGGGTTAGGGTGTGTATATGTAGGTTTAAGGTTAGGGTTAGGGTGTGTATATGGAGGTATCCAGGGGTTATAATATAGGTTAGATTATGGGGTTAGGATGTGTATATGTAGGTTAAGGTTAGGGTTAGGGTGTGTATATGGAGTTATCCAGGGGTAATAATATAGGTTAGATTATGGGGTTAGGGTGTGTATATGTAGGTTTAAGGTTGGGATTAGGGTGTGTATATGGAGGTATCCAGTTGACTTTGCTGTACATTATAATATCCATTACATAACGTTTACTATATTGGTGCGCGAAACATGGAACGATTTCCGAATTTCTTTGCTCAGTTATTTCATGAGTGTTACTACTTCTTTGGTACGTCATGTTATACGCACTAAAGTCGACCAGTGAACGAGATATATTTAATTGGGGCAAAGAAAAACAAGTGTACAGCTATTTCAATTAAGGTTGTCCCCGAGCAAAGCGGAAAAGTCGAATGCGAGCGCGAAAGGCTTGCTGGGAAACGCTAAAAATTAATGAATTTCTTAGCGATTCCCAGCAAGCCTTTCGCGCTCGTATTCGACTTTTCCGCTTTGCTCGGGGACAACCTCTATATACTTGTAATCGCTTGTGGGAAAGCGTTTGACATCTATAGTCCCTTATATATCGTAAACCATTATAATTAAATGTCAGCCAAAAACCTCTGCGGAGGAAAGAGGACTTTTTAAAACTAAAAGGCGATTTTCAATGTCATGTATTGGCGATGAAAAGTGTTCAAAACCTAAGATCTTTTTGGCGTTCCCAGTCTCATAATTACTTTGTTTTAGCTTTATTTTGTAGTTTACACAGTTAGCAACCTTTTTAAATGTATCTGGCGGTTGAGAAACACAAAATAATAGTTAAAAACTTAGATAAGATTTACTTGAGCGAGTGTTTTTGTTGGAACTTTTAGAAGTAGCAGAGACTGGTTTGCATTTGTAAAATATGGTATTCAGCGTATTCACATTACTCGTTAATTTAAAGTGCATTATTTACGAGTTAATTCAGCGAGCCCGAAGCGTGGTTCTCTAGTTCGAATCCCGTACGATACTGTTTTATTTTCAAATTTAAAAAAAATGTCAACTTCTTTTGAGTCTGACTTTAAAGATGATGTCCACTCCGTTCTGTGCATTAGTTCTGCTCATAACAAAGGGGGACCCCCAGATATAAACATTGCCCAAATTTTGCATCTTTCGAACTTTTTTGAATTGAAACGTACAATTTATATTCATTTACAAGCATAGCGAACCAGAAAAGTGTTAGATATTCAGTTAGTATATCATATTTTACAAATATAGCAGTTCAAAACGTAAACAAAGTTCGCGCATGTGCACAGGAGTGGACATCATCTTTAAGGTTAGGTCTTAGGATAAGGAGTTAGGGTTGTGTGTGGGGTGGGTTTAATTATATTTTTAACACCGTTAGGATTAAATTTCAAAATTTTTAGCCATCAGCGTTAATTTCACAGATGCCTCCATATCTTATATTCATACTTGTGTCAAAGTCTACACATAACATACTGTCAATACGGTGCTTTCTTCACTAACTGCACAATTATTTCAAAATTGTGCGCTTAATTATCCGTCCTACTATAATAAATAATAAATGAACAAACGGCGCCCCATAGTCGCTCGCGTGATTATTCATCATTTGGCGATAGGTCATAATTGCTTTCAAAAATGCTTTCAACACATTTTCTACAATTATATAAATTGCTTTCAATAAAATGCTCTTGCTTGTTTAATCGATAAATTTCGATCCAAAAAGCCGCAATAAAATACAAAAGTTCGTGTTTTCCAGGACGCCATTTTGGAGGGTATATAGTCATCGGGAGAAGAGAAGATTCACAACATATACTGAAAGACATTAGGAAGGATTCAGAAAAGGTATTAAGGCATATATAACAAGTGTTTTTGCTGGAGCTTTTAGAAGCGGAGAGTTTGTATTTGTAAATTGTCGTGTTCAGCGTATATTCACATCAAGATTTATACTTAGGGACAGACCATTAGAAAAGTGATGGGGGGGGGGGGTAAATTTTTTTTGTTTGCATTTTTTTCCAGGTTGTCAGCTGTGTATGCATGTTTTTTTTAAATATGTCTTCTCGCATGCAATTTTTTTCCAATACAACTATACAAATGTTAACGAAACTGTTCTCTTGACAAAAAATATCCCTTTAATACACACTGCAAAATTATATCTTTAAGCACCATATATGGACAAGTTTTCTAGGGGTCCAGAGCATGCTCACCCGGAAAATTTTTGAATCTAAATTCTCTGAAATACCATTTCCCGGACTTTGGGGAGAGATTTTACAGAATTCTGATGGTCAGAAAACGCCATTGTAACATATCAGAGGCCCTTGGCCAATGTTTTTGCTCTATAGCCTGGGGCCCCCCATTTGCGGGCCCATTGGGGTTGGTGGCACCTGGATTCTCCCAGTCCGAACCCATAGTAGTTACGCCACTGAGGACAGTGGCAGTGTGAATGAGAATTAATTATTAAATACAATAGAAAATATTTTGATAGTATATAATAAAACTACATAAGAGTTACTGTTAATATTGAAAGAAATTGCATATTAATATATTATATATTTTGATATATTTATATTCTGAAATATTCCAAAGATTTAGTTCAATTTTGTCTGATGTACATTTAAAATTAAAGTTCTATTGTTGTTCTGTTTGTAATTTTTTTTTAAACAAGTCTGTTTGCATGTATTTTTTTTCAAACCTTTTTTGTTTGCATGGATTTTTTTTCTGTTTTTTTCCCACCCTCCCCATCACTTTTCTAATGGTCCGTCCCTTATACATTTCACATGCATGTAAGATACCGGTCATTCTTTATGGCGGGGGTGGCGCCGAAGAGAAAAGGGTTGGGTAAACAAAATTTTGACTTAGTAATAGGTTGGGTAAATGAAAAACAAAACAACTCAAGGGTTGGGTAATAAAAAATTGTCATTTCCAAAGCATGACTCACTGAAATATTGGCGGAGACTTAAAAGCAATGTCAACAGTAATATATAAATACAATATGTGAATCAATCAGAGTCACTATTTCGATCATTCTCCGATTTGTCAGGAGTCAAATGGTGTCTTCAAAGAAACTACATGTGCAAACAATATGAAACTTTAGACTGCAGAAAATTTCACAAGCTGTTATCAAACTCGTGTCACAGAAGTGTTCAAAATAAAGGACATTCCATATCCTTTTGTAAAGTTTTTGGGCAGGGATGGGTATATATTTTTTAATTGAAAATAAATAATGACCGGTACCTAATTAATACTCGTTTACTGAAGAATAAAGTGCATTATTTACGAGTTAATTCAGCGAGTCCGAAGTGTGGTTCTCCAGTTCGAATCCGCGTACGATACTGTTTTATTTTCGGGGGGCCCCTTTCCGAATTTTTTAAAAAAAGTTTCACTTCTTTTGAGTCTGATTTTAAGGTTTTAAGACTTAAAAGTCTTAGGATTAGGAGCTAGGGTTGTTTGTGGGGTAAGTTTATTTTTTTAAGAGAATATTTTTAACACTTCAGTTAGTTTAGAGTTTAGGACTAAATTTCCTGACTGCCAGGACGTATATAGTATTTTGGAAACACTGCCCGCGGCTGCTGCAGGCGACTAATATTTCGATTCCGATGGAATTAAGTTTCATAGTTTAGATACATGTGATGGATATTTTGAACACAAAGTAGATCGAGCACACAAAATATGCGTATATATATACAGTCGTTTAGTTTTGATTCTTTTGCAAAATGATTATTATTATTACTAAATAATCCGTTTTGTTGTTTGCGGATGAATTAGTTGATCATGAATGGTTTGTTAGTAACAAAATGCACCTAAATTCTGACAAGTGCAAAGATTTACTGAAAATTTCTTTTCAAAAAAAGCAACAAAATTTTCCTCCGATATCGATAAATGGTAACAGAATAAAGGTGCCACGTGCATGTTGATTCAATCGTTAAGAAAGCAAACAAGAGAATTTACTTCCTAATATATAGAATTTAAAAGGGCGAATGTCCCTGTAAACGATTTGAAATCCTTTTATATTACATGCATACATGATCTATATTAGATTATGGAGCGCCCGTATTCTGTTACGCTAAACGATTTAGAGAAAGTATAAAAAAGGGCGTTATCTATTTGTCCCTTTTTCCGATTATAAAACTGCTTTACAATCACTTGAAATCTGACGTTTGCAGGTTTATCATCAACAAATATGCAAAGACTTGGGTATCTCGTGCCCCCAAGAAGAGAAGTTAGAGAACTTATAAATTCATTACGGTCTCAGAAATACAATGCGCCACAGTCCAGCATTGGAAGACTAATCGGTTTAAAAACACATTTTCCCTTTCGTCAGTCTTCGGTAGTACTGCACAACATATGTTAAAAAGATATAAACTTCTGTAAAATTTAAAAGTAGCTTTTTAGATAATTTTAATCGTATAAATTTAGTTAAATATATTAGTTAAACCCAATTGTTGCATAAATAATGCGTAATTCAGCCTGCCGGCTGCTATGTATTATAATAATTATACTATCTATCTATCTATTTATCTAGCTATAGCTATCTACCTATCTATCTATTGACTGCAATTGACAGGATGTGTTGATAGTCAAAAATTTGGAATTTCTGACGTTTTATTATAAATTTCTGTTACTGATAGAAATTTTATAATTGCAACGTAACTAACAGAGAAAATAAGTCGTATATGGCTCAAACGTACAAAAAAAAATTGTCTATAAGAGCATTAAAGCAGTTTTTTGATTTTCCAAATAGTTCCTGAGCTACAACCTGTTAGAAAATGTGATTTGAAGCTAGTGCCAGTCTTTGCACCTATTTTTTATCTATTTTGTGCGATTTCGAAACTAATTTACTTAAAACACGACTTGGCAAATCAAAAACTGCTTTAATACTGTATAGACAGTTATTTGTGTACTTTTCAACCCTACAACTTATTTTTTCTGTGAGCTAGCTTGCATTTTTAAAATTTCTATCAGTAATAGAAATTTATATTCAAATATCAGAAATTCAAAATTTTTAGCTATCAGCGTTAATTTCACAGATGCCTCCATATCTTACATTCATACTTGTGTCAAGGTCTGCACATACGTAATAACATACTGTCAATACGGTGCTTTCTTCACTAACTGCACAATTATTGCAAAATTGTGCGCTTATCCGCCCGCCCCATAGTCGGTTATCTTTTCATGTCACGCAATCACGAAATAAACTAATCCTTGGCCCAACCCCCATCCTCAACCTCCTATTAAAACAACTTGTATTTCGTGACATAAAAATGAAACATTTGTGGGCAACAATTGTATGCAGAGAAATATTTGTGGGCAACAATTGTATGCCCATTTTTGGGGGGAGGGACATTCAGGTCTAAGTGATTTTTTAGTGCAGGTTATTGACGTCACGGACGTTAATAACCCCACTGAGAGGGAGAGTTTTTGGATTGAGAAACTAAATAGTTATGTCCCACGTGGGCTTAATTTAAGGGAAGAGGTTTAATTAATTTATGCATAGCTAAACGCTAGACTATTTAAGCAAGAGACGGAGATGATGTAGCGTTATTCTGAAGAAGGGGCTTGTCCCCGAAACGTAAAAATATAATTTATTTACTTTGAAGATTTATTATTTCTTGATATATATATATATATATATATATATATAGGCGCTCGCGTGATTATTCGTCATTTGATAGGTTATGATTGCCGGCTTTCAAAATAATGCTTTCAACACCTTTTCTACAATTATATAAATTGCTTTCAACAACTTTAAACATTC